GATTTTTGCTATTAGGGTATGTGTGCTTGTCAGAGAGACAGAGAGATAGACAGACAGCAAGAAATCACCCCAAAGGAGGATGGCCATGCTGCAATTCCTTCTACTCCATTCTTTCAGGATTTTGGGCACACAGGTATACACGCCCAGTGTGAATTTCAAGCCACCAGATCTGGGACTTGAACTGCAGTCAGTCATGTGAGAGTCCAGCGCTTTAATCATTATGTCACCTATTGGCCCCAGTTCTACCTGTTTTAAATAGCAGTGACTAGAAGGTTTTCTTTTCTTTCTTTCTTTTTTTAATGTTCAACCTAAGTCATTCTATTTTTACTATGTTCTAACTAAGAGCAACTGTTGACATGTAGTCTGTATGCTTATGGTAAACACGGAGCTGTGAGAGGGAGCAACAGTGTACTGTAAGACCTCTGGATTCACAGAGACCCAAGTTCAAATACCAGCTTTGCCACCTGTTTAGGAATGTGACTATGAGGAAGTTATTTACAATCTCTGAGTCTCTGATGGCCTTTCACAGCTGTTATGACTGGGTAGCAGCTACGGGTAAATTGTGTTACTTCCTTCTTTAATACACACAAACACTAAAAGGTTCAGCATTACTTCTACTAATTGGAGATATCTAAATGCTAACAGTATTTCATTCTCTTGTCAAGAACTATGAATTATGCTGAAGTAATACAAACAACTTATGTCAATATGCATGCATAAGTAAGTGTGATATAAGCTGGTGACAACCCTCTGAACCCATTTCCTCCTCTGTAAAGGAGGGGATTACTAACCACAATGTAGCTACTCACTTATCAGGAACCTACAAAGTGCCAAACGCAGTCTGAGATGCATAACATATCAGTAATTCTTAGGAGGATAGTCAAAGAGAGCCATTATTATTCCCAGTTCATAGACATTCAAAGCCTTGCAATGGAGAAGGTGTTGAACAGGGGTAAAACAATACTGCTATCACTCAGGGGCTGACAGAAACACCAAATCTCAATACCTCCTTTGCAGTACAACACGATCTCCAGATTATTCACAGGCATACTTTTTTAAAGAATTATTTATTTTATTTTATTTATTTATTTAGTATTATTTTACTTTTAGAGAGATTTTTACTATAGGGCACATGCACTCTCCAGAGGGATAGAAGGCAAGAAATCACCCCCCTGGGGGGATAGCCTTACCACAACCCCTTCTCCTCCATTCTCATCTAGGGACTTTGGACATGCAAGTACCTGCAACCAGCATGAGTTTTAAGCCGCCAAGTCCGTGACTTGAACCATGTAAATATGTGGGAGTCCAGTGATGTCACCACTATGCCATCTGCTGGCCCCTTATCATTATTTTTAATTTGCTATAGAGCATATGCACTCACTAGAGAAAGTGAGAAAGCAAGCTGCCAGGTCCAGGACTCGAACTGTGGTTGGTCATATGGAAGTCAACACACGTACATATTAAAGTTTGAGAAAGCACTGCTCTAATGTCCTTTCCAACTCTGCAATTCACTATGTAATCAAAAAGCAACAAAAGGCCAGCTCTGCAGTCTGATGGTTGAGGGAGCCAAAATCTACACGGCCAACTTTGAACCCTGGCCCTGGAGCCTTGAAAAGCACTTCTGGTGTGGGTGTGCATACATGAGCACAGGCCTATGCTCAGGATCCTGACAGGATGGAGAGATGGAGGAGAAGGCGCTATGGCAGGCCCACGCCCCCATCGTGGGGATGCTCTCTCTCTCCACCCCCATCTCTTTCTGGTGAGTGCACAAATCCTCTGGCAAGTTTTTATAAAGCAATATAAAGATGAATGCAGCCTTTATACACATAAAATACTTACTGGTTTATTTAAAGTAATCAACATAACTTCCTTTGAAACGAAATTGACAAAAACAGAGCTTCAGACCTTCCAACGTTTATTTGGGGTCAGGTGCTAGAACAGAGGTGGCACAACTGGACCCAACAGAAACAGTCCTGAAGTAATGGCCCGGGACCTCTCCGAGCATGCCAGGCCTGCATGCACTCCCATGACCTGGGCAGGCTGGGACTAGAGGTAGACTGTGACACGAAGACTCTGTTAGGGGTGCCTCTCTCTCTCTCTCTCATGGGAATAAATAAATAAATAACTTTTTTAAAATTTAGCAAAATACATTCCATTTGTAGCCTTTTATCTAAAAACATGTGTCTTCCTTAAAGGTGATCTCTTACTTCAGGTCTGTCTACCACCCCTAGAAACAGATAGAGGTAGATGTCTTAAGCATGAAAGAAAAATTGAAACAAAAGATATGAATGAGAACCTTAAGAATTCAAAAGCACATCTTAGGACTGAGTCCACTTAGGGCTAAAAGCAATTTAATTTTTATTACTATGTCATCTTATGATACTTGCCACTGAATATCTTGATGTATTAAACTGCAGAAATACCATCCACTCACCAACAACATATAAGCAACCATGAAGCTCACTAACTCCATTGCCTGCTCTTCGTTGACCCATTTCTTTAACTTCTATCCACTTATCCAGATGGGGATCATACCTCTCCACACTAGACAAAGAAGCCACTCCGTCATTGCCACCTACTGCATAAACATGGTTCTAAACGAGGAAAAACAAAAAACACATGACGTTAGAATTTGAGCAGATTTAGATGCTGTCTTCATTGTAATATGTTACATATTATGGTATGTAATTGGTATCTGCATGGTGGTGCTAAGACTGTGTCAGTCCTTTTCGTTTGGTAATGAACATGACATCGTGCAATTCAAAGTCAAGTTACTGTATACTTACTATGAGAGCCACAGAGCCAACTCCTCCACGGGGAGTATTCATCGGTGCCACCGTACTCCACTGATCAGATTCTATGTCGTACCTCTCCACATCATTGAAGCAAGTGTTGTCATCTAACCCTCCGATTGCATAAATTGGGCCACCTAAGGAGGCCAAAGCAATACCTCGCCTGCAAAGACAATAATATATGATTTAGCATCTGGGTTCTAGGTAAAAAGAAAAAAAAAAGTGTCCCAATGCAAGTTATTTTTTATGTTAACCTTCAGACAGTAGGGGTTGTTTCCATTATTTTCAGATTTATCAAAACTTCTAAATTGATGGCTATGGAGTTGCCAAACAATCCAACTGCATGTGAACAGTGCCCCCTGGAGTGGTACAGTGCACAGTCTACACAGACTATTTTAAACTCAGAAGAAATCATAAGATAAAGCCCAACAAAATAGTATTAAAGGGCTTAGAATACCCAATGAGTAAAACACAGATGCGCAACTGAGAGATTCGTGAGCTAACAGAGATGCCTGCCATAGAAATTAGAAACCAGTCTCATTTCTGAATCCACGAACTGCAGAGCTCCTTTAGTCACAGGGTTTCACTCTCCTATACAAAAGAACATTCATTTTTATATCATGAGCTTTATATCTAAAGGGCATTATTTCTCTTTTTTGTAAGGAAGAAATTTAGCCCATGTTTAAAGCTAATTCACTGTAATGATAGTCATTAAAAAAAAAAATCTCTTTTTTTTTTTTTTTTTTTTTAACAGAGAGACTTTTGCTATAGGTTGCACTCGCTAGAGACAGAAAATGAGAAATCACTCCTCGGGGTTGGGGGGTGGGGGAGGATGGTCATGCTGCAATCCTTTCTCCATTCTCCTCTGGGGAATTTAGGCACATACACACGCATCCGGCTCGTTTTAAACCACTGGGTCTGGGACTTGAACGGCAGTCAACTATGTGGGAGTCCAGCGGTGTAACCAATATGCCACCTGCTGGTACCCTCAATAAAACAAAATTAAAACAAATAATAATAAAACAAATTAAAATGAAATAAGGAAACATTAAAAAAGCATTGCAGCAACTAAAAGCTATTCTAAAAATATTTGTCGCTGACTTGGAAAAAGTTAGTGACAGACCTCTATTACCTTGCTGCTTCATTTGAAACACGGCTGTTATTAACGAATACAGGTAAAAGCAGGTAGAAAAATGCCTGGCCCAGATTGAGTGCTTATATAAGCGTCTGCGATTACTATTGCTGCGGGAAGTAGCTGTTCCACGACATTCTAACTCTGCTTTATCAGAGTATTCTAGGAAAAAATTCTTATCATTTATCTGCTCAGTCTCTTTCATCTCTTTTCTCTTGGGTATAAATCAGTAATTAACCAAATACTATGGTAATAAAGATGTTTAAAGTGCCAATACTCTCCACCCCCACCAGCTGTGATAACCAAACAATGTCTTTAGACATTGCCAAGTGTCCCACAGAGGGTACAATCATCTTCGGTTGAGAACCACTGATCTGTTGCAATGCTACTATTTTTGTAAATTTTTATGTAAAAATCAATGCTCATGGAGGCCAGCAGGAGGTGTAAACTAGACTTCCTCATGGCTGATTTTGGTTCAAGTCCCAGACCTGGCAGCTTGCTTTCTTACTTTCCCTTTCTCTCTCTCTCTCTCTGGTCAAATTAAAAATAAATAATATGATAAATAAAATTAAATTCATAAGTAAGTTTTTTTTTAATTAATGCTCGTGTATAAGTGAAAACTGTGACTATAATTATAGTACTCTAAATCATCATTCTATTATTTCTTTATTTTAGAGAGAGATTTTTGCTATATGGTGTACACACTTTCCAGAGAGAGAGAGAAAGTGAGAAATCACCCCATAAAGAGGATGGTCACACCACAATCCCATCTCCTCCATTCTCTTTTTTAAGATTTTGGGCATGCATGTACACGCACCTGGCATGTTTCAAGCCGCCAGGTCTGGGACTCAAACCATGATCAGCCCATGTGGGAGTCCAGTGATGTAACCGTTATGCCATCTTCTGGTCCCCATGAGTCTAGTCTCCTTTTTTTGAGAGATTTTTTGCTATAGGGCACATGTGCCACTGGAGAGCTAAAGATAGACAAAGAGACAGAATCACCCCACACACACACACCGGGGAGGCGGCTTGGTCATGCCACAATTCCCTTCTCCTCCATTCTCCTCTCAGGATTTGGGGCATGCATGCACACGTGTCCAGCGTGTTTGAAGCCACGGGTCTGGGATCTGAACAGCAGTCAGCCATGTGGAAGTCCAGTGCCTTAACCACAATGGCACCTTCTGGCCCCCTATTATTATTTCTTAACGAAATACAGTTTTATGACAAAGCATCACTTCAGATACTCTAGCAAAATGTGAGCAGTTTCTAAAAACAGAAGTAAAAATGAAAGGATTTTGGATTATAGGAAGCTTCACTTTCCACCACCAATTCCAAAGGAATTTCCAAGCCCATCTACCTCTTTGTGTTCATTGATGCCTTCATCATCCATTTATTAGTGAGCGGATCAAACATCTCCATGCTACCTAAATGCTCATTGCCATCATGTCCACCTACTGCATACACTTTACCTGTCAGGCAGAAAAACATGTGAGTTGATAATGACCTTTATGTATAAATACTGTATAAGCTTCTAAACATGCTTTTGCTCTACATTATTTAAATGTTCAATCACTATCCCCTTAGGTTTCTCAACTTTTTCTTACTTAAGATAAAATCAGCAATCATGTTTCCAAAGAATGTTTAATAAAAGTGGAAAATGCTCTTAATATGTTATAGAAAGAAAACCTAAAAGTTTACACAATAGGCTCAAACTTCTAAACAAAAGAAACAAAAATACACACAGAAATACTGGAAAGCAGAACCAGCAGTTGGCGTAATGTCTGTGTCGCTGGACTCTCATGTAGTCGACCGTGGTTCGAGTCCCAGACTGGGTGGCTTAAATTCACACTGGGCATGCAGTAATAAGTAAAAAAAAATAATCGGTAATAAGTAAAAAAAAAAATAATAATCTAACTTCAGTAATAATAATTAAATAGATATAGAAAAGAGCTGATATTTATTTATTATTTGGGTGCAGTAAACGCTTTACCTAAGTCTGACTTTTTTGGGGGGAAGGGGTGTGTTAGAGGGCATGTGCTCTTGCCAGAGAGAGACAGAGAGAAGGAGGAAGAAGAGAAAGCAGCCCCCAGTGGGTAATGGTCACAGGGCGATGCTTCTCCCTTCCTTCCCACCCTTCAGGATTTTGGGCACACATACATGCTCACACACAAGCCTGGCATGTTTTTCAAACTGACAGGTCCAGGACTCAAACCACCCAGTCTGCCATGTGGGATCCAGCTGCTGTAACCACCAGGCCATGAAGTCAGGTCCCTTATTTGATATTTTTGCAAATATAACTCAGAATAGCTTATTTTAACTTTTCATCTCCACCTCATGCACCTATATGCAACACCCTGTACAGTGAACATCTGTGGGCACAAAAACAAGTAATCAGGATCCAAATATCTTAGCAATACATTGAAAAATATTTTAGAATTTAGCCATTTTCTTGGATAGAGAATTTCTCAAAGTTGAAATATTTTAAAGTAGCTGTAATGATGTCATTTGACTTAAGACAAGAGTGCGACCCACCTTCCACGGAGATTACACCCACGTGTCGCCTTCGGCTATTCATTTCCGGTCCAAAGAACCAGCTGTTTTTGTTGATAGAATAGCATTCGATACTGCGAAAGGGGTCGCCAGAGCCACCTCGGCCACCTACACAGAACAGCACACCTAAAGAGAGCCACCAAATATAGATTAAAATCGCAGCTCTCAATTAAAAAAAAAATAGTATGGAAAAATACTTAGGAAGTCAAAATTTTTAGTGATGGCAAAAAATTATGTTATCTGGATAGTATTGAGTGTGGCTTTAGTAACAGAAATCTAACGTAATTGCCCTGCTCCATTCAAACTTCTCAAAGAACAAGGTACACTGGTTATCTTTGCTTGCTAGTATGCTGTTACAGTACGGCTTATACCCCACCCAGGGCATAAAATTGCTCCTGCTGAGGTCCCAACAAAGCTAATCAACAGCTAAGTTAATGTCATACTAGTGACAACTGCCAACATCTGATATGTTGATCACCCTGGTTTTTCTAGGGGGAAACTTCTTTCTTTCTGGTTCTATAATTAGGTCGTCGGCAAAGTTAGGACACATTTTCCCATGCAAAAATGTGTCATGACTTTCCTGATGACCCAGTAACAAAGTCTCCTTTAGTCTCTAGTTGTGACTTTCCCTGTTTCTATCTTTTCCATGTTCATCCTTACCCAGCTTCTCACATACTTTACGCTCACACAGGTCAGGGTCACATTTGTTCTGAATTTCATCTGTACTCTGACACCTCGTAAGCGATGCTCCTAAACCACATTTCTACTTGATTCCCATAAGCTTCTCAAACCCAACGAGTTCAAAAGAATCTCCCCTCCTTGCCTAATCAACAACCTCTTCCCTCCCCAAAGTGTCCTCTCTTTCCTCTGTTGCCACTGCCACTTTCTTAGTTCAGGTCCCTATCAGCTCTTAGTCACCCACTGCAAAGAACTGTCTGTCCTCTCTTACTATTTCCTAATAAGCGTTCTTTTGCATTCCGATTGTTAGCTGTCTGTTACAGCAACAGTTTTCAAAAACATCAGCAAATGTGACTGAATTCTACACACAAAAAATGATTAAGAGGGCAAATTTTGGGATCAGCAGTTGCCGTAATGGCTATGTCACTGGACTCCCATGAAGTTGACCGCGGTTCAAGTCCTGGACCCAGTGGCTTAAACTCACGAAGGGCTCTCTCTGTCTTTCTGGCGAGCACACGTACCCTACAGCAAAAAATCTCTCAAAAACAAAACAAAACAAAAAAGATGGCAAATTTTATGTTATATATATTTTGCCATAATTTAAAACAAAAACTAGTGTGAGTCTGAATCGCCTGGAGGTCATAAAACACAGATTGTTGGGCCTGACTCCCAGAGTTTCTGATTTAGTGGGTTTGAGATTAGTCCAAGAAATCAGACTTTTAACAAGGTGCAAGTGAAGGCTGAGGCTGCTGGTCCTGGGGGACCACTTCCTTTACTCTGAGAAGCACTGACTGCCTTTTAAGATACTCTTAGCACAGCACCACGGCCTTCTGGGACCTCACCCAATTCCTTGCCTCCCTTCAACTTCGCGCTCCTGCAACATGCAGTGCTCATCCTTGGTGTTCCTGTTCCTTTTGGGAACTATAATGCACTTGAGACAGAGTACTGAAATAATCTAGGATGCGGACATCTGTCACAGAGTCCAAGCTCAGTTAAGGCTGTGTACTAAGCATTAACAAGGATCAGCACACTTCTGGCCTCTACAAGGCACTCAGTAAATGTAAAATGAACTGAATGCCCCTTTCCCTAACTGGCACCCAGAAGGACATTTACTTAATAGTCAAAACTAAGGCTGGGGTTTACCTCCTCTGTAAGACCTCTTTTGATCCTTCCAAGGTAAAAATAACCACTCTTTTCTTTGTATATCTCACTGTATTTTGTGATTATATCAAAGAACCTGTAAAACTTTATTGCACTTATTTATTCAAATGTCTATTTCCCTAGCCTAGTCTGCAAGTTCTCCCAAAATAGGGCTGGCTATCCTCTACGTGTCTGCACTTCTACTGCCTAACCCAGAGCCAGGCACGGGGTGGGCACTGAATAACACGTGCTGAATGGCTGCAGAAATGAATGACCGGAACTGCTGACACTTTCACACTCACTGAATATTTACAGAGAAATTTAAAGTTGGAAGAGACTTTAAAGATCAGATAGTCAAAGAGTTTATAAATTAACAGAAGTCTTGAGAATTAAGAAATTTGCTCCAAATTACTGACATTTAATGGCATAGTTGGGATTAAATTCCCAGAACGTAATTCTCATCACTGATTAGATTTTCTATAAATGAAAACTAGTATTTCGCATAGACAGGTCATCTAGTAACACAACATAGAGAGGGGCAAGCAGGTGGTGTGGTGGTTAAGGCACTGGACTCCCACATGGCTGACCATGATTCAAGTCCTGGACCTGGCAGCTTGAAAATCAAGCCAGTCACCTGTGTGTGTGTGTGTGTGTGTGTGTGTGTGTGTGTGTGCCCAAAATCCCAAGAGGAGAATGGAGGAGACATGATGGCGGTGTGGCCGTCCCCCTAGAGGATAATTCCTCACTTTCCCTTTGTGTCTGGGGAGCATATGCGCCCTATGGCAAAACCTTAAAAAAAAAAAAAAAAAAAGAGTAGAGGGAAAAAAAAACCCTTTCTCTGTTATTTTTGAGCGTGGCCTTCAGCATACTTCAACTTCTCTCATTCTCAGTCTCCTCATCCATAAAGTGGAATCACTATCTGTGTCATGAGAGTTTAATCCTGTGCTTAAAATCTACTACATAAAGTTCTTGTAAACACGGCCAGCAGGTAGTGTGGTGGTTAAGGCGCTGGACTTCCACATGGCTGACTGAGGTTTGAGTCCCTTGCTTTCTCACTTTCTCTCTCTGTCTCTCTCTGGTCTAATAATAACAATAATAATAATATATAAAATAATTCTAATAATTATAAAAAAAAGTTCTTGCCATCACGTAGGAGACTATGTATGTAACTGGTATATTTTGACATATAACCTAGGTTGTTAGAATTCTGTTTGAGGAACCAGCACATGGTATAATGTGTACATCACGGGACTCCCACATAATTGATCATGGTTCGAGTCCCAGATCTAACAACTTGAAACTCACACTGGGTTCGTGCGCATGTATGCCCAAAATTCTGAGAGGAGAATAGAGGAGAAGGAATTGCAGCATGGCCATCCCCCTGGGGGATGATTTCTTGCTTTCTGTCTCTCTGTCTTTTACTGTCTCTCAGTGAGCGCACATGCCCTTTGGCAAAAATCTTAATTCTGTTTGAGTTCAAATCTAAATCTGAAGAAGAATTTTATCAAGTATCTTGACTTTTTAAAACAGGAATCAAAACTAAATATTAAAAACCCCTACATGAAAAAAATAATTCCTAACATCATCCTATAAAAAAGAATAATGGTCTATTCATTTTAAACTAATTGTTTAGAAGAACTATGTCGTAGGAGATGCAAGACTTTTCAGTCTTTTTTTCTACCTAGATAAATTTGCCTTTTACTCATTATCAAGAATTGCTTTGTTGTTGTTTTCAGGCTCTTTACTCCACAGCTTCATTATTTGATAACTCTAAATTAGGTAACAGCAAATAAAGAGAATGACTCTATTCAGAGTTCTCTTCCTGAATTTCTGGACTCAGCTTATCTTCTCTCACCCCTCAAAGATGTTGCTCTCTATAAATATGAAAAATGCAAGTGAACATTAACTAAGGTCTTTGAAAATTACCGTCTAAGGCTGTATCATCGTAGACTTGTGCTGAGTACACTCTATGATGGTCGCACAATGACAAAATTGCACCATGACCCATTTCTCAGAGCGTGTCCCCATCATTAAGCAATGCATAAGTGTCTTAAAATTAAGTTTGGGCAGTCGTAAACAACCCTCAAATATAATAAAAATCATTCTAACAGAGTTGACAAAATGAGTAATTTAATTACCAGCAGTATGCTTCCTTGGGGTTGTCCGAACAGAGTATTCAAAGTCAGGTACTGCTCTGCTACTCAAATGAAGGTGGTAATTTCTTGCTTCATCCAGTAAATCTCTACATTTTAGATTTTGCTTCACAATCTGTTCTTTTGCCACAACACCCATAAGAAAATCCACTGGCAACAATGGCAGACGGACCTAAGATCATGAATAGGTGCAATATGAAATTTAAGTTATAACAATGATTTCAGTCTCCATTTTTTCACTAAAGTATCTTCTCATTTTAAAACGTATTTCTTCGTAAAGCCTTCCGGGAGCCGGAGGATGGCACTGTGGTAATGCAGCTGGACCTAGGTTGGTTAAGACCCTGTTGTGGATGCTTCTTTCTTTCATTAAGGTTTTTGCAATAGGGTGCACGGGTTCAACAGAAAGGAACAAAGAAAGAGAGGGAAAGTGAGAAATAACCTCTAAGGGGGATGGCCATCCCTCCTTCTCTGGTCTCCTCTTGGGATTTTGGGCACACACAAATTTCTCCCTCAAGGAACAAAAACTGGGTGGTCGAAAAAATCATGACAGATTTTTCTATGCAAAATTGCATCATTACTTTCCCAAGGACATACATTTTCTTTCTTTCTTTCTTTCTTTCTTTTTTTCTTTCTTTCTTTCTTTCTTTCTTTTTTTTTTTTTTTTTTTGAGTTTTTGCTATGGGGCGCATGCACTCGCCAGACAGACAAAGACAGAGAGACAGAAAGCAAGAAATCACCCCCAGGGGGGATGGCCACACCACAATCCCTTCTCTTCCATTCTCCCCTCAGGATCTTGGGCATGCACATGCGCCCGGCCTGAGTTTAAGCCACCGGGTCCAAGACATGAACCGCGGTCAGCTACATGGGAGTCACGCTAACTAGCCATTACGCCAACTGCTGGTCCCCCAATGACATACATTTTCTAAAAAAAGCCTTTCTAATATTTAGATGAAATTCAACATACCAAAATTTAAAGCAACTTGCAGTTATGAGCTATACTAATAAAAAAAAAAATCAGACTATATGTTAAATTCATCTACCCTTTTAAATAGACTTAAGAAGACTGGTTCAAAATAACCCAGCTGTCTTCATTTAAATGATTTATTCATTTTCCAAATTAGTACTGACCCAATCATAAGATCCCTTTCTTGCTGAGGCAAAGGAACAAACAAAACAAAATGGTTGTGCTTTGTTCCTTTGCCTTTTTTTAAAAGAATTTTGCCATGAGACCCATGTGTTTGCCAGAGAAAGATAGAGACAAAAGGATAGAAAGAAAATGAGAAATCACCCTACTGGGGTGGTGGGGGTCATGCCACAATCTCTTCTTCTCTATTCTCCTCTCAAGATTTTAGGCACCCATGCACACAGTGTGATTTTCAAGCCACTGGGTCTAGGACTCAAACTGCAGTGCCAACCATGTGGAATCCAGCCCTTTAACCACCACACCACCTGCTGGTCCCTGTACCTCTACTTTTTAAGCCAAGAACAAACATATGTAAATTGATTTGTTTCTTATTTAAAAACAGAAACCTTTTTTTAAAATAATTATATTAATTTTACTCATTCATTTATTTTAATTTGACCAGAGAGACAGAGAGAAAGAGAGAGGGGAAAGCGAGAAAGGAAGCCACCAGGTCCAGGACTTGAACCATAACTGGCCATGTGGGAGTGTCCAGCACCTTAACCACCATGCCACCTGCTGTCCCCCTAAAAATAGAAACATTTATAACTAAAACAAATAAGTGTTGTTTCTTCAAATCCCTTGGAGGACCATAAATAACTTAAGAAGGTACTCCCTCTTTCAGCAGAGGCACTCACCATTCTTCTCAATGATGCACTCATCTTCTAGTGGACTAGAGGTGACCAAGCCAGGTAATAATATTTTGAGATAAAGCACAAACACACAGGGGTTGAGTCTAATCTCTCTTCTCACACGCAGTGGTTCCTATATCTACTGCCAATCCCTTCCCCAGTAAGGTTTTCCTTACTATCTTAAAAAAAAAAAAAAGCACAGGAACAAAAAATAAGATATAGCTGAAAATAATGGTATTTTTCATTTGTTTTTGTTAGCAAAATTATTCTGTTTTTTTAAAAAAGTATTAATTTAATTTTATTCAGAGTTATTATTACTGTTAATTTAATTTTTGCTGGAGGAGACATGAGCGCATCAGAAAGAGAGAGAAGGGGGTGGGGACTAACCTGGAGGTCTGGGACTGAAACTACAATCAACTGTGTGGGAGTCCAGTGCCTTAACTATCACGCCACCTGCTGGCCCCAGCGATCTTACTTTCAAAATACTTCTAAGAGAGAAAGGCCTAAGTGTTCTGAACTTTTACACCCCTATTTGCTGGAGGACACATGAGCGCATCAGAAAGAGAGAGAAGGGGGTGGGGACTAACCTGGAGGTCTGGGACTGAAACTACAATCAACTGTGTGGGAGTCCAGTGCCTTAACTATCACGCCACCTGCTGGCCCCAGCGATCTTACTTTCAAAATACTTCTAAGAGAGAAAGGCCTAAGTGTTCTGAACTTTTACACCCCTATGGATATATAAATATTGCTTACATGCATTTGAAAAAGTTTTTGTCCCTTTATAACCACCCCTTGAATGCTTTTCTTTACTTCATCTGCCTATACTATCTAAAATAAGAACTCTGGTAACTACATGAAAGTTCATTCTTCCAACTATTTGTTAAAAGAGTTGATAATACCATTGGGACATTTCGTATTACTAAATTTAGTATAATTATATATCACTAAGAGTTTTTAAGTACAAAGTTTTCTTTTCTCTTTTTAGTTTGCCAAAGGGCATATGTGCTTGCAAAAGAGAGTGAGATAGAAAGTGAGAAATCATCCCCCAGGGATTAGGACCATGCTGCAACCCCTTCTCCTCCATTTTCCTGTCAGGATTTTGGGAATGCACACACACCCACATAGGGTCCAGAACTCAAACCACGAAGTTGGCCAGGTGAGATCCAGCTGCCTTAACCACCACGTTGCTGGCTGGCTCCGAGCACAAAATTTTAACAAAAAAATAATTATCAGTAAGTAAGAAAACCCTCTTTTAAGTGGTAGAATTCTACTTTTCAGGAATAAGTGACAAAAGAAAGGAGAGAAATCAGGAGGAGAAAGAGAGCAGGATGGGAAAAGGGAGGGAAAGAAAAGAAAAGAAAACAGAGGTCCCAAAGGGTCTACTTACCTCTCTTACCTAAGTAATCCTGTTCAAAGTAAATAAAAAATTAAAAAATAATAATAAAGATACATAGTCCTGAGATAAACACATCACACCACACTGAGAAACTGAATAAAAAGTGATGTGTCTTACAGTTCTTCCCAGAGTAAATTTATAGCATTAAGAATAACTGTTATTCGTAAACTAATTCATTAAAATTTAGAAACGTCATTATAAAGCAATAATTATAAATTATACTAATTTAGAGCTATTTCCTCAGAACCACTTTAATTAGCATAAATAAAATATTCATTACTTCATTAGGATTAAACGCAGAGAATGACATTACTAATTCAAATGCGACAAATTTAAACCTATCCCTAAATAGTATATAGCAAGTGGGTAGGAAAGTAAAAAGTGTTACAGAGTTTTATGGTTGTGTCACATCAATGACATGCCTTCAGATAATAAACGAAGAAAAACACCGACCTGCTTTCATCTCATTTCTATACACAACCGTACTTCAGCCCATACCTGTGCAAGTGTTTCATCCAACCATTTGGAATGATGCTGAGGGTTAGCAAGAAGCCACTTGATGGCAGCACTATAGACCTGCTTTTCATTCTCAATATTTAGATCGCTGGAGGACAGAAGCTTGTGCAGGTGCTGGGGTGACACACTTACAAAGTCTTCACACTCGACTACTTCAGTGAAATGCTCGCAGGCATACTGATCGGCCATGTCCATTAAGTCTATTCGATTGTGACTTTCTGCAAAGGCTCTTACTGCCAGGCAATTGGAGGGATGAAAATGTAGCTTCATGTATTCACAACAAGCTCTAGCAACCAGTTCCACCTGCAGGATACAGGCTGCATACAAGAGAGGCTGGACATTATCTACAGTCAAAGTGAGTCGTGAAGAATAGACAAACTTGACCAAGTCTTCTATTGCGTCACCATCAAAATCTCTGATTTCGATGAGCGTCTGCTTGGCTTCAGCCATTTCAGAGAGAAACATGGCTCTGAAGTAGGGGATAACACAGGCCAATACCAGTTTGTGACAAGAGATTAGCTTTGAGCCAACCTGTGGAAAACAAACCAAAACAAAAATCGGTTGAGTATCAAAATCAACTTTAGTCAACACAGGGTTTGTGTTCTAGCAGGCTTAAACCCGCCAGACAAATTTAGACATCTCAATAAAGTAATCCTTTGGTCACTTACTTAAAAGTCAGGCACTTTTCTTTTAAATTAGACACTTCTTTTTTACATATATCCGTGGCACACACATGGTAAACTATGATTTTCGAAGGAGTCTTGAGTTTTTTCATTTTCTATTTAAATTATTTTAAATATGTTTCCTATAAAAGTATTTTTAAAAAACACTGAACTCTCACCACCTTAATTGCTGCAAAATCAGACTGGTTCCAACTGTGTGCCATTACAAACAAGGCAGTGGTGAACTTCTTTGCAGCTGAACCTCTGTTTATATTCTCTATTACTTCTCACAAAAGTTCCCATAAATAGAAGCACTTCCTCAAAGGACAGGTACACTGTGGTGTGTACTGCCCAACTATCTATTTCTGAGCTACTTTTAAAAGAAATAGTTGCCAGGGCAAGCAGATGGTGCAACGGTCATGTCCCATGTGGTCGACTATGGTTTGAGTCCTAGACCAGGTGGCTTAACACTCACACCAGGCACGTGTGCATGCATGCCCAAGACCCCGATAGGAGAGTGTAGAAGGGACTGTGGCATGGCCGTTCCCCTGGGGGGCGGAGGGTGATTTCTCACTTTGTCTCTCTGGTGAGTGTACATGCCCTACAGCAAAAATCTCTCTCAAAAAAAAGAAAGAAAGAAAGAAAGAAAGAAAGAAAGAAAGAAAGAAAGAAAGAAAGAAAGAAATAGTTGCTAACTTGATGAACAAAAACATTCCCATTGCCTTTCTTTTACTTATAAAATGGAATAATTCATAAATCTGCGGCTATTTGTATTTCTTCTCTGAACTATGGATTTTTGCTTTTATTTGTGAGAACTCATCATACATTTAGGGAATTAGGCATTTTTCATAATACACTGAAGAGGCTGAGAAAAGGAGAAGGACAGTTTCACCTTCAGAGTGACATCACAGAGTTCTCCATTCTCATAAAACCGAAGAAGAGAACCATGAAAATCTTTCCAAGCTTCATTTGCTTCAAAGATAAAGGAGTCTTCTCCATCTCCATCGGGAACTGAAGCTCTGTTCTTTATTTGCTGCTGCTGCTGCTGCTGTCTTTTGCCCTTGGTAAAGTGACTCCTACCTTGTTTTACATTTAGAGATTCTGAAGCCATTTGCATTAATCTTCTTTTAATATAGCTCTCGTCTTAAATGTCCCATGTATTCTTTTTTAAAGGCAGAAGGTAGATGCAGCCACTATACTTCAGACATTTTTCAAAACCCACTCAACTGCCATCATACGGTTGACTGAAACTAAAAAAATCAATGACACACACAAAGACAAATGAAAAGAAAAAGACTACCATTAGTAAATAAAATTTACAAATAATACCATATATGAGGTCTTTGGAAAGTTCTGTAAAAATGTGCATTATGGAAAAATCATGCATGAATTTCAATATTTTTTAAACCAAAATAAACTCATAATTTTATTCCATTTTTCCATGAACTCTGTGAAGAACCCTTGTACATGAAATAACCACAATAATCATTGAAGAAAAACAAGTAACTGTAGTTTTTTTAAAAAAGAATTATCTTATTTAACTTTATTCAATTTGACCAGAGAGGGACAGTGTGTGTGTGTGTGTGTGTGAGAGAGAGAGAGAGAGAGCCCAAGAAAGCAAGCCACTAGGTCCAGGACTCAAACCGTGGTTGGCCATATGGGTGTCTAACACCCTTAACCACCACACCACCTACCAACCCCAATAAGTATAGTTTTTACACTAAATGTTACATAATTTATTGCAGCTAATTATATCAGTAAAGGAAATACTTTAAAGTTTAATGAAAACAATTCAATAGAACATGACTTTTGAGATGTAGAATGCTCTATATTCCAAAAGAGAGGCTACTGACTAAAAATGTTAAGTTTGGAAACTATATCCAATGATGCAACAAAAACAGAAGGCTGTTTTGATTGGATTAGGTTCCATCACTTACCAACTGTATGACCTTGAGCAAATGACAAATGATCTCTTCTGTGAAATGGGGATACCACTTATAGCAATTTTTCTAAAATAATTATTTTTATCTAATTTATTATTATTACTTTTTAATTTGACCAAAGAGAGAGGGAAAGTGAGAAAGCAAGCTGCCAGGTCTGGGACTCAAACCATGGTCTACCATGTGGGAGTCCCGTGCCCTAACCATCACGCCACCTGCCAGCCCCATAGGAACATTTTTAAGGGTTAGCAATCCTGTTCTGGCAGGCATAGGTACCACTGCATTTTATGAAGATACCATTTTATTTGCATTTTTACATAGAATTTATCAGTTTTTAATATAAAAATCAAACGTACCACATTATCAAAGCCTATTTAATAAATCTATACCATCAATAATCTTATGCTATAGTTGTACTGTGGTGACAGAAACAGGAGATATTTAAAAATTTTTTTGAATATGGGGCTGGCAGGTGGCATGGTGGGTAAGGTGCTGGACTCCCACATGGCCAATCATGGTTCAAGTCCTGGGCTCAGTGACTTACTTTCTCACTTTCCCTCTCTCTCTGTCTCTTTCTAGTCAAATGAAAAAATAACTATAATAATTCTTTGAAATAATTTTTTAGTGTATTTAAAATTTCTTATTTACATTTAAGTGTTGTACATTTGGGGATGGTTTTTCAAAGCATGCATGCAGTGTGTGATAATCAAATCAAGGATACTGCCATACCTTCATCTTCAACTGGGAACATTATGCTATGCTCTTCACCTTCAATTTTGTTCTACTAGTTGGTTTTTACACACACACACACACACACACACACAATTGGAAACATTCTTTTATTTTACTCTTGTGGTATACGTTTCCATAACCTACTCATCTTGTTTATACGCATTCCTATGTCTACTAAATGTTTTTTTCCTGAGGCCCTCACCCCCAAACACCCCGACTCCCATGTGCGGTCTCTGGTATCTACTCTACTTATGTCTTCTCTCTGGTATCTACTCTAATTATGTCTTCCCATCTCTATCATAAAGTGTGCACATCCCGTATGTGTTAAGCGGGTCCGTACACTGTTTGTCTTTCACAGTCTGGCTTATTCCACTTAGCATTATTAAATCTCGTAGATTCATCCATGTGTGTTGAAAAACAGAATCTCACTGTTCTTTATGATTGAGTAGTAGTCCAATGTGGATATGTCAATCATCGGGCATACAGGTTAATTTCATGTCTTAGCTATAGTGGATAATGCTGCAATAATGTGGATTGCACTAATTTACACAGTGGTTGTACTAATTTACATTCCCACCAACAGCTCAAAAGGAATGTGTTTCCTCACAACTTTGCCAGCACTTGTTCTTTGTTTCTTTTGTTGTTTTTGCTTTCTCTTTTTAAAAGACAGCCATCTGACTGAGGTTAGGTGAAACTTTATTGTGGTTTCAATTTATATTTCCCTTATCATAAGAGATGCTGAACATTTTTTCATGTGCTTTTTTAGCCATTTGTCTTTGGAGAGTTGTCTATTTAGACTGATTGTCCACTTTAATTAGATCACCAGGTGTGGTTTTTTTTTTTTTTTTTTTTTCTTTGTAAGTGAGTTGCTTGAGTTCTCTGTATGTTTTAGTTAACAATCCATTATCTGAAGCATAGTTTGCACATACTTTCTCCATTGTGTGCTTTGTTTCTTTACTGTTTCCCTCGCTGTGCAGAAAGTTTTTAGCTTGTTGTAATCTCACTTGTCTATTGTTTGGTGCTGCCTGTGCTTCAGGGATCTTATTTGAAATCTTTGTCTACTCCAATGTATTAAAGTGTTTCCGCCCCCCCATGTTTTCCACAAGTAGTTTCATAATTTGGGGGCTTTCCATTTAGATTTTTCAACAATTTTGAGTGAATTCTCATTCATGGTGAGAGATAAGGGTTTAGCTTCATTTTTCTGTAACTCAATATCCAGCTCTCTAAGCACTACTTGTTGAAATGACTTTTTTCCTACACTAGAGTGTCTTCTGCTCTTTGATCTGGGGGTAATTTTAGATTTTTTTTTTTTTTGAGAGGGTTTTGCTATAGGGCACATGCACTCACCAGAAAGACATAGAGAGACAGAAAGCAAGAAATCCCCCCCCAGGGAGGATGGCCACACCGCAATCCCTTCTCTTCCACTCTCCGCTTGGGATCTTGGGTACTCACGCACACGTGCCACCGTGAGTTTAAGCCACTGGGTCTGGGACTTGAACCACGGCTGACCACATGGGAGTCCAGCAACATAGCCATTATTCCAACTACTGGTTCCAATTTTAGATTTTCTATTCTCTTCCAGTGGTCTGTGTCTTTATATGCCATTAGCATGCTGTTTTGATTATTACAGCTTTGTAACATGTTTTTTAAAAATTTGCCAGAGGGCACATACGTTTATCAGAGAAAGACAGAGAGAGGGAAGAGAAGGTACCCTTCATGGGGCATGGTCATGCCACAACCTCTTCTTCTCCATTAATTCCTCCTTTCAGGATTTTGGGCATAAATATACACACGGCTGGCTTTTCAAGCTATCAGGTCGAGGATTTGAAATGTATTCTTAGTCACGTGTGACCTAGATCCTTTAACCACCAGGTCCTGGGCTTGCCCTGCTATATATTTTGAAGTTGGATAGTGAGATCTCTCCAATTTTATTCTTTTTGCATAGTATTGCCTTGGTGATATGGGTTTTTATGATTTCAGAATTTCTATTTCTGTGAAGAACAGGGGTTGGCAGGTAGCCTGGTAGTTAAGGGTGCTGGACTCCCACAAGGCCAATAGTGGTTCAAGTCCCAGACCTGGCGACTTGCTTTCTTTCTCACTTTCCCTCTTTCTCTCACTCTGTCCCTCTCTGGTCAAATTCAAATAAATTAAGTGAAATAAAGTAATTCTTTTAAAAAATAACTTATACATTGATAGGGATTGCACTGAATTAATAAATTAATTTGGGAAGTATTAACATTTTTTTTTTTGGAGAGGTTTTTGCTATAGGTCATGTGCGCTCGCCAGAAAGACAGAGACAGAGACAGAAAGCGAGAAATCACCCCCCAGGGGGGATGGCCATGCTGCAATCCCTTCTCCTCCATTCTCCTCTTGGGATCTTGGGCACCCACGTACATGTGCCCAGCGTGAGTTTAAGCCACTGGGTCCAGGATTCAAACTGCGGTTGACTACATGGGAGTCCAGCGACATAGCTATTACGCTAACTACTGGTCCCTGGAAGTATCGACATTTTAATGATATCAATTCTTCCAATCCAAGAACAGAAAATGTCTTTCCTCTTTTTTTTTCTTTTTTTTTTTAATTTCTTCCTTCAGTTTATTCAGTTTTTATTGTAGAAATCTTTTGCCTCTTTAAGTAGACTTATTCCTAGGGTTTGTGTGTTCGTCTATCATAAAGGGATTGATTTCTTCAGTTCTGCCTCAGTCCATTTCTTGCTAATGTTTAAGAAACTATACACTTTTGTATACTGGTTTTGTATCCTACAACATTACTGAATTCACTTATCACTTTTAGGAGGTTTATCATGAATGTATACGATTTTCCATGTCATCTGTAAATAGGGACAATTTAACTTCTTTCTTGCCTATCTGAATACCCTTTATTTCACTCTTCTGCTAACTGCATTAGCCAGGACTTTCAATGCTATGTTGAAAAGGAGTGGAGAAAATAGACAACCTTCTTTTCTTCCATTTTTAGTAGGGAAACTTCCAGCATCTCCTTGCTCAGTATGATGTTAGCTGTGGCTTTTTTGTGTGTTAAGAAATGCAGCTTCTATACTTAGTTTACTGAGTATCTTATGAAGGGATGTTGTACTTTATCAAGTGCTTTTTCTACCTAATAGTATATGATTTTTAGCATTCCTTCTTTTAATGTGATGTATTTTTCTTTTTTTGAGAAGTTTTTGCTATAGGGCGTGTGCGCTCGCCAGAAAGACAGAGAGACAGAGAGATAGAAAGCGAGAAATCACCCCCCTGGGGAATGGCCACGCCGCAATCCCTTCTCCATTCTCCTCTCGGGATCTTGGGCATACACGCACATGCGCCCGGTGTGCGTCTAAGCCACCAGGTCTGGGACTCGAACCACGGTAGACTATGTGGGAGTCCGGTGACAAAGCCATTACACTAACTGCTGGTCCCTTTTTAATGTGCTGCATTACATTTGTTGTTTTGCAGATGCTAAACCATCTTTGTATCTCTGGGAAAAAGACTACTTGGTCATGGTGTATAATCTTTTATATGTGCCATTGGATTCAAACTGCTAGTATTTTGTTGATGATTTTGATGTCTAGAGTCAT